AAAGGGTATTCACAAATCCGCTCCACTTCCACCTAAAGTGTGAAAAAAGAGTCCTTTCAACTGACCAACATGTGAGGTAACATACCACATCTGTTTTGGCCTCCCAGTCATAAATAAGACTTCCAGCTCTACTTATAATGAAGACTTGTTGTATTGACATGAGGAATTTCCTGTAGATGGGAGTAGTAGCAAAAGTGATTGTGCTATTGACGAAAAGTAGTTAAGGACATTAACCTCTACGATAAAGACATACTTGTTGATAGAATCTTTATTTCAAGCAGTCCAACAAAAAAAATAACAATGAGATCTTTCTAACAATAAAAAACAGGATGACCTTATTTGTTAATCGGTTTGAGAGTGAAACCTCGAGATTCCAAATCCTTTGAAGACTTAGCTTTAAGTGCATCATTAAGATCGTCTCTGACTTGCTTGTTTACCAGAGTGTAATCGTCTTCGGTCTTTTTCATTGAGTCTTCAAGGATCTTTATGCTTTCTGGTGTGGTGAACTCCATCATCAAGCTTTCTGTAAGAGCGATCCATGTCGTCGAATCCTATAATCACACTCAGGAATCACCAGTGAAATGGTTTCCAAAATGAGGAACCTTAACCATATCACGCGGAGAGACAAGTTCGAAAGAAGGTACTTCTTCGATTGTTTTGTATATTCGGGTCTATTATACGATCCATGAGCTTGGTTGACTTGTGAACATTTTACATGGGTTCCCCGTCATCAAAGGCGAGGTGAATAGAGAACAAACAAAAGTGAGAGGGCGCAGGCAAATGCCGCATTCAGCTACGATTAGGCTCAAGGTTAGCCGCGCTGCAGCCCGAGTATGGAGTCGGCACTGGAGTACTATAACCGTTCAGCCCGTTCCCGTGCACTTTTAAAGACAGTTCCCGCGGTAAAGTGTCATGGATAGTTGCTGTTCATTATGAAACAGTAGCTGATAAGTAATTCCCCAAAGAAGAAAAAAGCAAGGAAGAGTTCCCAAGAACACCATAAACAGGAGTACTGTAACCGCTCCCTAGGCAGTTCACCCCGCCCTACGGTCCTTGTGACAACCATTCAATCACTTTTTCGCAGCTCCCAGTGTAAATATCATCCAGTACAAAGAAATGAATACGAAAAACAACAAAAACACCGACGGAGTGACAAGAAGAAGCTTTTGAAAACTCGGCGTACGAATTTAGGGTTGAGTTATTTATAGGTACGAGCGGCGTCCAGGCAAATAAAGAACATAAGTTCCGAATAATGCCCAGCCCGCCCCCAACAGAGAACAATCTGAGCGCCCTCGTCAGGGGGCATTTAAGGCAGTGGGCAGTCCAACTGAGTGAGTGTTAAAACTAGAAATTTCGGCGGCTGTAACACGTTCCTCGCTCGCTGTGGAATCGCAAGAGTGAGACAGTCTCTTAGCTTGGGGGTTGGACTACATGCACAAGGAAGGACAACCACGAATTACTTGAGCGCGTCGGCTGTTTTCAAGCGGAGAAAGAGGCGTGCCACTGCAGCTGCGGACCCATTCACTTCAAACATGGCAACGATTGAATCTACCGAGGTAGCTGTACAGTTTGTCTTTGAAGCACCTCCGCTCCATCCGGCATTAATGAAAGTACAGTATGAAACTGTAAGCTTTTTCAATCTTTACATAGCATCTTGTTACCATAAAGGCGTGTGAATCTGAACTTTTCTAGTCTCGAGAGAAACAATGTGTTATGTCGTTACCACTCCACTAAAACAAAAAAAAACTCCTCGAGTTTGACGGCTCAAAAAAAGCAGCTGAACACATGTACTGGGACACACCTGTCGAGGATTTTTCAATAATCGTGAAGCTTCTCGAATTTTCTGCCTTCTGATGTCCAGCTCCAGTAACTTCGCAGAACTATCTAGAACCCTGAAGATGACATCTTACAAGCACTCCAGCGAATTCAAGTCAGAAAAAAAATAACATCCGAGGAAAACTGAATTCACCAAATTACATGTAACTACCTTATGACCGTCTATCCTACAAGCTTACATCATCTACTTCACACACTAGCCTGGCAGCGATTCGCTCGAGAAACTACTTTATAGAACTCATACAATGGAGTCAGAAAGCTGATCTTGTGGCCTGCATCATTTTGAAGAACTCGGAGCCTCCCGGTGAACCAATTATTCTAACAATAAAACATCCACCGCTTAATCACAAGTCCACAACTACGGAAATTTGAAATCGCGAACTTGAGCGTTCCGTTTATTTGATCTCCATAAGCTTGGGTCCATTTTATTCGCACCCTCTGTGGTATTTCATGGTTCGAGAAAACCCATAGCTCACTCTGCAGTTTGTAACACATCCTGGCTGCCGATGGAAACATGGCCGTGGATATGAAAGTCGAATATATTCTGTGAAAATCGTGTACAGGTTCAGGAGCGAAGGACGCAGAGACATGACTAGAAGATGGACGACCTTCATTCGCACAAATGTTCAAAAACACTCTCCTCTTGTGTCTGTGGGATATAAGAATAAAGTTAAGTATAAGTATAAGTGTAGCAGGTTCTGCAAAGGCTTAACGGGGGTGCTGCCTAAGTTACGGTGCACAGAGTGCCTCGCAATGTTCAAAGACAGACTTCGGGCCAACCGTTTCGCAGGGGTCTCGTCTTGCCTAAGGGTGCAGTCCGATTCTGTAATTTTAGAACGGGACAGACCGTTTTGCTGCTTCCCACTCGACATAGGGCGCATGCGGCCAGTCTTATGTTCCAACTAAATACGGTATACCGTACGATGTGCGTTATATACCTACAAACTTATGATGACCCGCATCGGCGCTCACTCACTATGAAGCCGTGAAAATGGGGTTACCTTTAAGATCACGCACCAAACAACTTGGGCAAGGGAGGAATCCCAGGGATTGGCTGACCACGAGGCCTGTCTTACAACCGTACACTTGCATTTCATATGACCGCGTCACCGAGTTGAGTACCGTGGTCACCTACACTGGAGTCTTGTTAGCGCCTAGGCTTATCGTCTGGGCTGTAGCAATCATTTCTTTCGCACTAATTTCGTGCAACGTAGAAAATCATGCGCCTGCATTGCTTAGAGTTTCAACCTTGGTGGCGCAAAAACATTAGGTTTTAATCAGACAATCATCCTGTACACTTGTTTCTAGAACCAGGGTGCGGAAGTCAGAGTCTCACAGTGGGGTTTGACCTTTGAAATGTAGAAAACACTTGTTCAATTTGACTATGTTTCTTAACCTTATACGAGGTTTTAGCATCCATTGGGAAAAGAAGATGGAAACAGGTTGAATGTAAATGAATTTTCTATGGAAAAACGTAGAATAGGCATACTTATCAAAATATTACCGTTCGGATGCGGCACAGGAATCTTTCAGATTACGGTAGACTGATGCCAAATGATTGAAGTTTTCAGGATGAGACATCTTCCCACTGTCTGGAATGAAGCTGCATTACTCGCCCACATGGAAAGAAAGAAGTTTTTGTCTTGTTCGCTGGGGATGATAAGGGCGTGTCAGCCTGCGTTCAGCGCGTTTTTCCTACCCTTTTTTTTCTTTCGGCGAGCAACAGACTGTATCACATCGCTCGTATCAGTCGTTTTCCACCAGTTGTTGCCGCTCAAATAAAGGATGGAGAACGGGTGGGTTTAGCTGCGCGCCGAACGCAGCCGTGCGGACATGCCCCATCATCCGCAGCGAATCAGACTTCATCAACAGAAAGGCTGTTGAATTCCACTTAAGGATAGGAGTTTACAAGTGCGCATTAGGGGACAACCAATATAACAACAAATATAAAGAAACACAAGCAAAGAAACATAAACACAAGAAATCCCTCAGATTTATAAGGCCGCGTTCATACTTTGTTTTTGTAACAGTGAAGAACGCACAAACGGCGGAGAGGAGTGCATACGTATCGAACTGAAGAAACAAAGAATCAAACTGAAGAATGTGCGTAAAGAAATACGGAGGAACTGAAGAATTGACGAACTGTGGAAACAGTCCAGTACCTACACACTCCTTTGGAAGTTTCTTCAAATACCTCTCCACTGCCGCTACGTATGAACCCGGCCTTAGAGACTTAAGAAGCTTCAAAAATCCAGAATCCACTCCAGATTCAGAAGGTATCGAAACGCTGCTGGCGGCCAAAAAAGGCGGGCGTCGAATAAATTGTAGGTCGTCGTGTTCCACTACACACTGGATTCCACGCCAAATTCAAGCAAAACCTTTCAGAGGGCTTCCGTTCGGGTTTGGTTGCGTATAACTAGTAATCGTGGTTTTGTGGAAGAGTAACAAAGTTGCGAATCGGTACCAGAGAAAAAATGAGCAACATCGAGTCGCTGAGACTGTCTTCATACTCCGCATCTTTAACACATTGAACGCCGCGTGAATTGTCGGCAATACACGCGCATACTCCCGTTTCTCGCGTTTGTGTATTGCCCACAATTCACGTTTTGTGGGTCGGTTTTTTCGTGGGTATGAGTGCGACTTGAACCATTCTCACCGAGTATATGTTCAGTGAGCTTTGCTTATGCTTAGTTCTTGATGGCGCGAAATAAGCTGCTCATTGAAGTAATTCATTAATATTACAAAATAACAGTCAGTGGCGCGGTCGGTAATTGCACTTCTTATGATAGCTCCGCATCGCTACAATGGTAGTAAGACTTCTAGTGATAATAAGTGTTAATTTGCAATACGTTTGATAGTGTTTAATTGATTATGATAACAATACT